TTTTTTTTTTTTTTTTTTGAGATGTATTGGATTGTTAGATGTTTCAAAATTTTTATTTGAATTTTGTATGGATATTGTTACATTTTGGAGTTAAGTTAATGATGATTATTGGAGTTATTTGATATTGTTATATTTTATCTTATTTTGTGGTTGATTTATGTAAATTATTGTACAAATAAAAAAATTAAAAATATAAAAAAAAAAATGTAAAATGACCTACGTCAACGGTCAAAAAATGTTGCGAAAACCTTTTTGCAATGTTCATGCGTGCATTGCGATGTTCGATGTTGTCATAGAGGTGTCGATTTTTTGCAACGTGCATTGTGAGTTGCAAAAGATACTTTTTGCAATGCGCAATGAACGTTGCAATAGAGACTTTTTGCAACGTTCATTGCCTGTTGCAAAAAGGTTTTTCGCAATGTTCAATGAACGTTGCAAAAAAGGTATTTCGCAACGCGCATTGAATGTTGCAAAAAACCTTTTAGCAACGCGCATTGAATGCTGCGAAAACCTTCCACTCTACGGCAACATCAAAGCTTGCAACATACGCCTGAACGCTGCAAAAAGTTTATGGCAACGTTTTTCGACCGCTACAAAAGGCAGTTTTTGGTGTAGCGATTTTCATTCAAGAAGAGCCGCGTCGTCCATTACGATGAATCACTGTGTTTTCAGGTTTGCACGTTTTCTGGTAGACTTCATTCTTCAGATTCTGATGGAAGGTCTTCTTTAAACCAGTTGTGAAGTCCTCCTTCTAAGTGATAGACATTAGTATAACCATTGAGAACCAGCAAGTAAGCTGCTATGAGTGACCTGCACAAAGTGTTAAAAGTGACGAAGCATTTCTTATTTCTGAACCACATTGTTAAAAAGCATAAACCGTTATCTATATTTTGTATGCAACACGCACCTTTACATGTAGACCATACTCATTTTCTTATCAAATGTCTCACATTACATGTACAATTTTCATGAGTGACAGTGAGACTTGAACTTAAGAGTATTTACCATGTTGAAGAATAGTCCCATCTATCAACTTAAGCGTGAGGGAGGGGACGGATTTATCTATTTAAATTTATATTACATCTACCAAGAATGATTGATTGCAATAATAAATAAGAAATCATTTTTTTTTTCCCAAATAAATTCTTATGGCCATAAATCATAAATAGCACGCAAAAACAGCAACAGAAGCAGAGAAGAACCTTGACTGTTGGCCTTCTGGGAAATTTTGTGATGGCTTCATCGTTCCACCGGCCGAGCAGGCAACAATTATCTTTGCACTCTTATCTATTTTTGACTCAACACCTGCTTGCACAAGCCAAAGAACTCTATGATTACAAAAAGATTTTGAGTAGAGGCGGGACAAGAAACAATTATATATAAATCCCACTTTGGATAAACTCAGGATTCTCCTCTGTTCCAGAAAAGATGCCAAAAAATGCGAATGCAGCTCGTCTAGCTATATCCCACGCCGTCCACTCTTTTATAAGTCTATATATTTGCACGTTAATAGCACCCGGAGGATGTGCCTACACCATCAAACAATCACGAAATGAAACAATGCCTATTTAAGAGTTAACCATTTCAAATGCAGTAGTGTTAAGGGCATGCTCAGTCATTTGTTATCATTTCAGTAACCTCTTTGAACTCTGCTTCTGGCTGTACGTCAAGAATCACAAAGTCATTTTCTTTCTGAAGCCGAAATGCTTCCTTAGCGTCCACACTCCTTACCTGCAGAAGATCATCTTGTTAATTATCCCAAATGATGTCTAAGTAGGCAGAAGACAGTACCCACATCTTCATTTCTAATCTCCTGTAACTGATTTTCGTTATTCTTTTGAAAAAGATATTTGTTTCGTGGTTTTATCCTTTTCAATGGAATCCTAAGGAGTATGATTTCATATGAGAGAGAGAGAGTGAGAGAGAGGGACTTGTTACCCTTTTCCCGAGTAGAAGCTGCCGTTTGATCTTCCATTCTTCTTCAGCTGATTCCTCGAAAAGGAGAGAAACACTAAGAACGTGGCCGGATACTATTTATCGAGTAACATTGATGTAAATTTTAATAAGAAGATAGTAACAACATATACCTGGTGACTTTGCAGGTTTTGTTGCTGCATTTTGAATTCTGAGGCCTCCAGTAATGCTAAGGCCGTTTCTTCTGCTGGAATATCCAACGGGTTTTGCTGTAAAACAAGAACTCGACTCATAATTCGAATTCGAATTCGAATTCGAATTCGAATAGTAAGCAAGAGTAGAGGAATGGAATTTATGATACAAAGATGAGGAAGAAAGAGCAGCCATGATCTTCAAAGAAATAATTTTTGATACAAGTACTAACGAAGCTATAGATTCTGCGTTTTCTTCTTTTTCTTTTGCTGTACTGAAGATTTTTTGAATGTATAGTGAGGAAATTAGTGGGCCACGAATAGACAACTGAGGATATTTTAGCTTCCTCACAATCTGAATTTGTGGTGCTGCTTTAATGAATTCCTTCCTGTTTGGATTTCTTTGATCCCATCCATCTGTTTTTATGTCAGCTGGATAGAACCTATAACTGTTCACAGCATAACTTTCTTTCTACCTTTTTTTTTTATGACGTAGGAACCCGCAACCGCGAGCTCGCAAACTACACAGGAGAGGTAAACCGCACTAGGCAAGTTAGGTGCAACGGGCTCGACCGAGGAAGTGTTGGCAGGGGATTTGAATTCGTCACATGCTCCACCAACTCAACCACTTAGAATAGAGGTGTAAATTGAGCCATGTTGGGTCAATAACCTAAAATTACCCGAGATCTGTATGACTCGTACTAGGCTTGGTTTATGGACTTTTTATAAGTTTTTATCGTCTTTTATTTTCTTCTTTAATACGTCCCGTGCTGGCTGTGGACCTCGGCCTCTATGGCTGACTTCCGAGCACCATAGAGTCTATCACAAGCCGGACCATGCTTTTAACGTATGAGGATTGCTTGGCTTGCACATTAGTAAGATGAAAAGACGAAAGAATTTAATCTTGTCAATTAAATCTCGCTCTTATATTTTATGTAAGAGCAAAAATCTGTATCATTGGTATGCTCCAAGTTTGATACGCCGGAGTGGTGCATTGGTAACTTGTGCCAAGACGCGCGTGAACAAAGGTCTTAGATCAAGCCAAGAGAAATTTGAGGACAAAGATGCCATAAAATATCTTAGGAGAATATTTGAGATTGGGAAGGAGAGCTCGATAAAATTATCTATATAAGCCAAGTTGCCCTGAAATTGCTTAGCGCGTCAAATAAAGGCTAAGAAATACAACCTGCAGCATAGCGAACTTAAAAATTAAGAGTGCGTTTGGTTTGCCGTTTTAAGACCATTTTCAGTTTTCTAAAACACTCAAAAATTTTGACCATTTTCTAACAAAATAGGGTAGGGTAAAATCATCTATACATTATATACATTCTTAAAAAAAAAAAAAAAATACACTAAACTTCTTCTTCTTCAACCAATCCCCCCTCCCCTCCCCTCCCCTCTCCAACCCAAATCAAAACCAAAAATCTCAGTAACAGGGGAGAAAGGAGTGGAAGTAGCGTGTGTGGGGACTGGAAGTTTGAGTGAGGTTAGGAAATAACAAAAGCAGAGGGAGAGAAACTTGTTTTGTGCTTTATGTTTGAAATTCCAAATGCTAGAGCTTGTAGTTGTACATACATGCAGCACGGATCTCTAAAAATCTAGAAAGCTCAGGTAAAAAATGTAGACAAGATAACATTAGAAGAAAATGCCGCACGCTATATAAGGTTCAAGGAATGTGAAGATGTAATATTGGTCTACATTTCACCAAGCTCAGATCTTGCTTTTCCTTCTCACCGACACTAGAGCACACAAGGAGGGATAAAAAATACAGTGAGCGAAAGTACATGGATTGGGGAAGAGAACTTGAAAATAATTGATCCTGAGGTGTATGCTGAGTTGTAAATGTCTTTTCATGAAAACTGTAATTGGGGGTGCCCCATCCCCCTAACCAACTTCTTGATGAAGTTTTTTTTTTTTTTTTTTTTTGTACTTTAAGAATGTATATAATGTATAGACGATTTTACCCTCCCCTATTTTGTTAGAAAATGATCAAAATTTATTTTGGTGGTCAACTAACAATATTTTGTATGGAAACCGTCCAAAATGGCCTCACATGCAATGGTTGAAAATGTTAGAGGGTGACGGATGCAACATTTGAAAGGTTTGGAGAAAGTCTGCTAATGTTTCAAAGGTTTGGGATTTTTGCTACAATTATCTGTTATTTTTTCATACAAATAATTAATATAATATTTTTCCAAATTTGCATAAAATCTAATGCTGTAATGTTAAACATGAAATAATAATCAAATTAATTTTTTTTTTTTTTTGGAAATTGCATAAGAATAATGTTGTAATGTTAAGAATGGAACATCGCAGTTAAGTCGAATTGAACTAACATATAATGTTATTCCTCAAACCCTAAATTCTATTATTGCTTAAATTCAAAGTGGAGTAACGAATATAAATTTAGGAGGAGACTTATGACCTAACCTTGAGTCAACCAAACAAAAGAAAAACGAATCAATTTGGTACCATATGTCGATCTTGCTATCAAGATCCATATAAAGTTCTAATTCCATCGATATCATCTTGATGTAAAGTTCTCTTGACCATAGCATAACGGATATTAGGGTACATAATTGCATCTGGAATATTCGTATGCCCAAGTCCAAGAAGATGCCCAATTTCATGCAACGCAACACTAACTATATCAATTGTACGAGGAAGAGAACCAACTATCCAATCCTCGGATGCATCAAAATGCATTCGGCCATTGGTTGGCTGAAACGCATGCGAAAGGACCCCACCGGGTCCGTCAAACGGATATCCATCGCCATGTTCACCATAAACAAAAGCAATTTGTAAATCTGAATATTCTTCATCAAGATCATCTCGAAGTTCGAAAAAGAAGAAGTTTGTTTTGT